ATCTCTGAACTATTTTACATACAAATCACAATAACAGTTCTTTTGTTAAGGTTTTGAGTTAATTTCCTCTCATAAATCATCTAATTTCTCAGTGCCATTCTATTCATTGTTATAAGAAGTCTAAATACAATGAGATGAAAAGCATTAAAAAAGAAAAAAATGCCTGTTTTTGAAGGACTTGTTATTCATCCACCTGCAGAGAGAAGGTTTTTTACATACTTGTCCTCTGTGTGTTATTGTTGGTGGCTGTTAACAACACAAAAATTAGAACTACTAAGCCAAATTGAAATTCTGTCTGTGACAATTTGCACTCATTTTGCATTAATGTCCTTGGAGGAAGGCATAAACCTATCTCTTCTGACCCATCATGCTTAAATACTAAATCAGATTGGTCTCTCTAGCCTTGGTTAATAACCAGTCTAGAAGAAAACCAATTTTGAAAAACTGCCATTCTCTTTCTCAAAAATGGTTATGGAAAGCTGAAGAATGCCATGATCATTCATATCCTTAAGGGACATAGCATTAATGAGAATGTATATAGGTAGGTGAGGTAATTTTGAGGCTAAATTCTCTTTGTTCTAAACATACTTCTATTATTTATTCTTTTGAGAAGGATCATTAAGCAAATACAAATATCAGTCAACATTGTTTCGTTTTAAGGTATGATAGTTCAATATCAAGTATAGAGCATATGTAAATATAAGTTGACATTGAAGTCAACACCCAGCAGTGACTGTCTTTCATGCTTAAACATGATTTTCAGGCCTAAAGATTCTATTTAAGCATGAAATAGACTGTCATCAGTGAGGGTTGATGTGTGTGTGTATGTATGTATGCATGAAGATGAGATAAAGTGGAAAATTTATTAATGATTTTGGCTGCAAGTGTGAGTCAGCTCTCTTTGGCTTCCTCTAGTTAAAATGAAAGACAAAATGGTATATGATGAAAAATGCCTTGAGGATAAGTGATGACCATAAATTAAATTAGATTACCTTATCACTTCCAATGTCCAAACTCAAGAGAATGTTTGTCAGCCTGCTTGTTTTATTGATATCTATATCAGTCCTTGGTGTTATGGATTTTAAATCTGTCACCCCTCCCCTGAAACTAGAGTATTTTTTTATTATGTGACACTGAAGCTGTGATGTGGTTAAATGTTAATTCTAAGCAGAAAAAGGGTTAAGCCTAAAATGAAATATAAACTGGGAGATAGAGAGAATGGAAGACATTTTCCCTGGTAATGTGGAAGTGAAAAGAAAGGACCATCTGGATTGGTTTTTTTTTTTTGGTTTTTTTTGTTTTTTTTTGTTTTTTTATCTATTGAAAATCTGGCATCTGGGTAAAACAAATTGGGGAAATTAGAAAAACACATATCATTGGTGAGAAGAGAAGCAAAGGAAATGAACTCACTGTAAGGGTCAGGATTATGAAAATCAATCCTGTTGTGGTCTGGTTTATGTTTTTGCTAAGACTGTAATCAGCCCAAAGATGGAGAACAGCATGTCTCTTTGTTGAGAACTTAGTTAAACAAATGTGTTTTCCTTGACAAAAACAAATTGGGAAATATTTTTTATCTATTGCTCGGAAGGTTAATATGAGAAGCAGTGGGTCTGGTTTGTGTTCTCACTGGACCGAGGTAATAGTAGGGAAGTGGAAGGGAATCAGAGAATTGAAATTAATGAAGAGAATAAATTACACCCTCTCACCTATGCACTTCAAAAATTAGATTAGTCACAAAGACAGTTATGCCAACCCTGAGAAGTGGAAAGAGCTAGAATACTGAGAAGGAAGGAGGAAAAGGCAGAATTTAGCCCCACTTGTGTGGAGTGGTGGTGTGAGATGTGAGGCAGGTTGGAGTTAAGGGAGGAGCAATCCCTATGATTACACCCAAGGAAGGTGGATAATTATTTAAATTTGGAGGGTTGATTAAGAAAGCAGAAATAGGGAACAAAGAAAATCTTTATTAGGATTAATGTGAGGATTGGGGAATCGCTGAGTCCCTAGGACCTTTCAGTCCCATTGCCATTTTGGGGCTGAAGTACATAATAAGCAGATTACTTGGGCTGAAAACCTGCATCAAGTGCCTTTAGAATCCACATCAGCTGCCACCAGATTTCCTGATTCCAAAAACTTTAAACTCAGCTCCTCCAAAAGTTTAAACAAGGCCTAGTTGCGATAGAGATTGATACCAGAAGGTATTTGTTGCAGAGTGATTTTACAGTGGAGGCTTGTATTTAAAACAGGTTCGACGTACAAAACATTAGGAACTTCATATAATAGGTATGACGCAGTAATCAAGTTGTGATCGCTGATACTTTTAGTATCCGACTAACGATCGTCCGACATCGACTGATTGACCAACTCACTGAGCAACTTCTACTTATTATAGGTGGGAGAGTCTATTAACTATAGAATAGGTGTGTTCCACTATAACAGTATTTTTGTTGTATGAAGATTAACTCTATGAATCTCTCGTTTTATTTTTCATCGTGAAGATATTTTTAATATAGCACCTGTCAAGGCTTGAACCAGTGCTGCAATATATATATATATATATATATATATATATATACATAAACACACTTGCATATACATGTACATAAATAAACACCCACCCAATCATATGCATAGAGCCTTCTTTTTTCTTTTTTTTTTTTTTTTTCTCATACTTGTACATACATGTACACTCATATATATCTGTGCATCTGAAATCAGAAATATTTTTGGTGTATTGAAATTGGAGAATTTTTAACCTAATTTCTGATTCCAAAGATGATTCTTTAGATTTATTTTTTTGTTTAAAACTTTTCCATTCCTGGTACTCATGATAAAATTATATAAATATTTATTGATTTTGGACTACCAATAAAACTAAAATCTATAGATCATAATAACACATAAGTATGATGTAAAAATTATAAATATGTGTTAAAAAAAAAATGTGCAAGTTTCTATTCAGTTCTTTCAGTTCAAAATAAAATTTTTATTTTTAATTTCCTTTGAAACATTAATTCACTGATTTAATATTATAAATTATTAATTTAATAATTATAATCAAAATTATGTAATATAAACACAAAATGAATTCACGTTGTTGCTCTAACACTCTCTTTTTCAGACAATTTTTATTATTATTTTTTGTCATTTTTAAAATATTAGAAAAAAAGCATTGTCTGCAATTAAAAATCAAGAAAAAAATTTTAGTATCTTTATATAAAATTTTATTTTAAAATTCAAATTTTCAATTATTCTTAAGTAAAAATTAATTCCATATAAGGAGTTTCGATTAGCACTTAAGTCAAAGGGTTGTATAAAGGTGGTAGTAGGTATTTGTTTTCTTTTATTTATTAAAAAAAAATAAACTTTTATTTACTTTTCAAATAAAAGCATTTCATTAAAAATATTAAAAGTGATAATGTTTTTCAGTGGAATTCAAATAAAAATGAATTTCTCATGGCACTTTTAGTCAGGAAATGTGTATCAGCATCTCCCTCTTCTGTTAAAAGCGAATGGTTATTTAGTATTTGAGGGAACATTTACTAACTAAAAAGAAATCAACTGAAAGATGAAACAGGAGAGATGATAATGTTCTTACATTATAATTTAATTATAATTTTTTCTTTCTTAAATATGTATAGCTAGGTACTTAAGTGATTTACTTAAAGAAATTGCTCTCTTTATTGTTTAAACTCTTGCCCAATTTTTTAAATAAAAAGGATATTTAACTTTATTTCATAAGCTTTTTGTATTCATTTTTCTACTAAATGTTTTATTAATAAATGTACTTTGTTCATTATGTTTCCCAAACCAATTGTAGAGCCTAAAAATAATGAATTTCAGTCATTGTAGGTTATCGGAATTGAGAATTGTATTGGAATCAGAAATTTAGAACAGTATCTGGAATTGTATTGGAATTGGTAAAAATATTGGTACTGTCACATCACTAACTTTTACATATATATACATACATGCAATTATTTTATATATATATATATATATATATATATATATATATATATATATATATACCTGTACACACATACATGCATATGTGTCTCTTCATATATATCTGTATATAATTACAGACACACACACATTTACAAACATATATATATATATATATATATATATATATATATATATAATATTTTTTTTTTTTTAGTTTGTGAATTGCACTGTTTTTCCCTGATATTATAGTTCGCATTGAGTTGGTTAGCTTGTTTACACATGTGTGCGCATACATTCCATACATACATATTAGTCATGGGAGGTCTGCAGGTTTTTAGATCAGCCGACTCCAAGTAGATATTTGTTTTTATTTCTCTACTAGCTCATATGCCGCATTGTACTATTATTGTCTTTGCAATGAACGTCGACATAATGTGTATGTTCCTGGTTTAAATTTACTGTTAAGAAATACAACATTAATGCACACACTTTCAATGCATTTCCTTCTCAATGAATCCTGTTCTCTTCTGATTAAAATTGGCAACTCATAAGTCAACTGTGTGCTCAGGTGTAATACAATGAACCACCACCAGTGCATTTTAGATTTTGTTCTTGTTACACAAAATATCTCTTCACTGTTCAAATAATCTTCTTTTTTTTCTTTTTTGAGGTTTCTGGATGTTTTGCTGATGTACATCAATGAGCATTTCGTGTATATATATATATATATATATATATATATATATATATATTGTGTGTTTGTGGACATTGAAGCCAATGGCAACAGTCTGTTTCGTACTTATGCTCAATTGTCATGGCCTGATGATTGTGTGCAAGCATAAAACACACTGTCACCTTTGGGTAGGTGAAGAACCATTATTCTCTTCCTAATCTTAGATATTTTGCTCCTGCAAATAAAGTTTAGAAAAAAAAATTCCTCTATTTACTGGGGTTAGTAGGTTAGTAGAACTATTTAATCATTTTTTTTTCTGTTTCATTTTCTCCCTCTAACCAACTTCTATTTTCCTTTAAATATTCTTTTCTGTTTTCAGGTGGCAGCAGAGAAACCCATTGACAAAGCCATCCTTAGTGCCTATGGGGTCAAAAATCCTAAAGTAGTTGAATTCTTCTGTATTCCTTACAATCATGAATTCCATGAATTACCAAGTAACCAGAAATCAGCAGTAAGTACATTTCCTTGCAATTTCTTGGTACATGTTTAAAGATCACAGCAATTTCTTGGTACATAATTAAAGATCACTGGATGCTAAATGTTTCCTTATAAGGAAACCATAAATATTACCATTTTCATATATTCAAAATTCTAAGAAAGCAAAGTGAGACTATGATTAACAAATACTGTGCTAACTTTGAACATAAGATCTTTTACAGCTTTACAGCCTGAATAAATGATTTTAATCCATTAAGGATAACAACAGAACGTCATCAACAAGTTTACTTTTGAGGATTAAAAAAAAAAAAAAACAATGATTTAACAAATGTCTAGACAAAGCAAAATAAATACTGCCGACAACACAATAAATGAATCTGTAATACTGAAAAGCATTACTCATATGTCACTGATGTCATATGTGCTTACAAGACCAAAGTTTAAAATAACATTTCATTTAAGCAAAATGTCCTTCACCTCATCATCCTCCTGGTAGGGATGGGTAGAGATTACCAACTTGGAAAAGAGTGAAAAGTTTTAGAAAAAGGAAGAAAAATGTCAGAGAAAGATGTCATAGCTGTGATTAGAATTCAGTGGCTAGTTTAGTATTTTGAACATTGTTTCGTATGTGCTTCCTAGCAATAGAGGCAGCATTTAGGATTCAATCATTTTTGTAAGAGAAAAAAAAACTTTAGGAGATAGCTTCTAAAAAACATCAGTGAGTTTTGACACTACCAAACAAACAGATGTCAATTCCAGGACCGCTATCACCACAATTTAATATATTTAAGTAAGATAATCTGGCATTGCTGTAACTTTTGCATTAATGATGGACATTCTCTCTTGTTTCTAAAGAATAATATTTATATGTCTATCTTTTAGGACGGTGTCAATTAAGATGGGCCTCATTTTCATATTTAAGTTTGATCTGAAATTACCCGCAATGAACAGTTATTGGACTAAAATTTTTTTATTCAATCTTAGAAATACAATAACTTAGATTACTCTCTTTTTCACTCACCATAGGGATAATTTATTAAATTTATTATAAATTGTTTTTTTTTTTTACTAGTTATTTAATTGTTATATGTGCTGTTCAAAATGTTCTTTTTCAGAAGACATTTTAATTTCATGCTTGACTGATTCATTCCCATGTCAGTTTCTGCTGTCATTTGATGGCATTCATATTTCATTCTTTCTTGAAGTTCCTCAATATTTCCTGAGCGTGTCTGATAAACAACTCCTTTCAAATGGCCCCACAGAAAAAAAAATCCAAGAGTGTGAGCTCAGTGGCAACCCAACACAACCTCTTTGACCCCTGTGGTGTACAACTTTTGCCTTATATATATATATATATATATATATATATATATATATATATATATATATATATATATATAATGTTCACCGAATACAAGGACCAAGAGAGTAGAGATATACCCATACACTTTGTTGCAGTGCCAAATATTACTACTAATTGTCACTGGCACTAACTGCCAGATGAGGTGAAATATTTTGCATTCATGGATTTTTTTTTTTTTTTATCTGTTTGATATTTTCCCCCATTGCTAATCTGTAAATATGATCATCCAGTGTTTTGTCCTTGTATACCTGCTGGGATGTGTGTGGTTATTAATGCATTCTTCTGTACATTCCAACATTCCTTGGTTTTCTTGACTGGATCCTTTCTCAAAAAGCAAATGGATCAGAAGTAGAAAAAGGTAGAATTTGTGTAAAATTTAATACCATCAAAAGGTTACACTCTTGATTGATTTTTCTACTAAGATCTTGAGTGGCCGAGAAATAGTTAACTGCAAGTTTAGATATATTTGTGTTTGTGTGTTAGTTTCTTTTGGCTTGAGGAGAAAAGAATAGAAAGGCAGCATTCTCTTTTAAATCTTTTTTTTTTTTTTTTTTTTTCATCAAATTCACCTCAAGCAAGGCAATAAAACCACTAAGACACAAGAGGTTACTGGCTGTGAAAGAATTTGAAGGCAAAAAACATCATGAAGAAATAGGAACAGTAGAAAAGTAATTAGGAAGAGAGTAGATATTGATTGACATTGCATTTACATTTTTGAAGATCAAAATTGGACAGAAATCATGGAGCCAGAAGAGAGTTCCACAAAGGAGAAGTGTGAGAAAAGAAACTGTTAGCATAGAACTAAATCATCTACATCTAGCTAATTTAACTGTAAATTGATGAGACCTTGTTGCTAAACTATTACTGCACTTAAGCTCTTCAATATGGTAACGAGAATTTATGAATTTATTTGATCAGTTACCATGAAAATATTTATAGAAATGGCACAGAGAAGTGACGTTACGGTGGTGAGAAAGTGACTGAAGCTGAGACATCAGGACGAATAATATTGCTGATTCTCCTTTGGATTTTATCAAGAATTTCTAAATATATAGCAGAGCATCAAACCAAATTTGGCAGCAAGATTCTAAGCATGAACAAATGGTAGACTTATAGATATTTAAGATTGATTCTGAAGAGAAAGATTGTCTAGCACAACACAGTGAACCAACTTTCTTAGCAGCTGACCTAAGAATAGTCAATGTAGTCTTTCCACTTCATGTCAGCCAATAAGGTTAATCCAAGAAGTCACAACAAATCACTCCCCTGGAAGTTAGCATCATCCATGCTGATGGAAGGCAGAAAGTGTCTCTCGGGTGATTAACAGAGCAGTTTAATTTTAGAGGTGTTAAAATTAACAAGCTATTCTTTGCCCTAGTTAACAACAAACTGTAGGCCATTTGTGAGATCAGCTACCAATTTGACCTTATCGAACAGATCAGACTTTGTATCGAGACAGGAGTAAATGGTTGTGTCAAAGTGGGACCAAGGATAGATCCTTGAGGGACACCTGCATTAGTACAAAAGGGTCTAGAAGAGTGGCCATTCAGGACAATTCTCATTTCATGATTTGATAAGAAAGACTGAATCCATTCAAAAATTCACCAGGAGCCACCATAACTTTTCAACTTGCAGAGAAGACTGGCATGCCAAACCCTGTTGAATGTTTTCAAGATGTCCAAAACAAGAGCCCAAGCTTCAACTTTCTAAAGCTTTCCACTCTTTCCACAATACATCAGCAGTTGACCTAGAGAAGCAAAAACTATATTGCTTGTCTGAAAGAAGGCCCTGCGATGTGAGACACTAATTCAGCATTGATTAGGATCTCTAGTAGTTTGCCAAACTAATAGGCCAATAATTGGGAGGGTCGAATGGTTCACCTGAGTTCTTAAAAACAAGAACAACAGCTGAGGACTTCCAGCTGGCAGGTAAGCAGGAGGCAGTAATATTATACAGTTTAGAGAAAACAGGAGCCAGTTCAAAAAGCACATTTCTTAAGGACTATTAAAGTGATACCATCAATTCCACATGCTTTGTTGGAATCCAAATTAGAGATAATAGCAGAAACTGTAGAAGGGGTTATATGCATATCACTCAATAAAGACTCTAAGTGGGGGAAATTAGGCAAGGATGATTCTTGAGCACAAATACAGTGAAATCCTTGAGTAAACTAAGCAGCCACATGCATTGACTTGTATAGAGGTTTGTCCAGGAGAATGATATGTTATGGATATTATCTCCCAAACAAAAAACTTCCTATTAATGACACTTATGACTATATTTCTAAAGTAACATACAGTCGGACATAGCGTGTTTAAATAGTTCCCGGTTCAGACATGTTGGTAAGAATAAATGTAATTCTGGCTGGATAGTATGCTAAATACGTATTTCCCAGATTCATTTGTGATTTGCAGAATAGGTAAACAAGTTAATTTTGTCACTGTAACTTCCTTAGGGATGAAAAGTGGGGTAGGGAAAATTCAATTTTACTAAATTTATTAGGTTTATTTTGGGTTCAAATCTTACCAGTGACATTCTCTTGAGCATTTTAGAGGTTCTGGTTAATATTTTTAAACTAAACTTTCTTCCATCAGGTTCCAATATGATTAACTAGTCTGCTATATTTTTTTTACAGAGCTTTTTAATTTTTTTTATAGATCAATTACTCCATGTATTTCTATTTATTCTATTCATAATTCTATTCAACACTGGATCCTGCCTAGTTCTCAACCTAAGCTGATTTAAGGGTAATACATTCGTTTCTATCCAGTACAAAATCCCATCCGCATAATTTTCACTTGTTTCAACATTTTTACTCCCAAAATTTAACCGAGATAATGCATCTACATGTGGAATAGTATTTCCTTTAATATATAAAATGTCAAAGTCGAACGCCATAAGTTTAATCGCCCTTCTTAATATCCTGGCAGATAATACCTTTGGCAACTCTCTTCGGGGATTGAATATAAATTCCAAAGGCTTATGATCAGATTTTAATAGAAATGTTCTTCCCAGCAAAAATTTTCTAGCTACTTCCGTGCACCAATGTTAAACGTCATCCTGACGTTTTTACTCCAAACTGCAGACAAGTCCAATTTATTAATCCAATAGGGGGTGTTCATTGAACGATTTGCCATCATTTTTTTATCTGGTTATATGCTGACTTAATGTCAACTTTAGCAAAGTATTTCATACCAGTGAACTCCTGGCATGTTTCAATGTCTGGCAACGGGAATGAATCCAAACAGATCTGGGGATTTACGTCCACTTTATAATTGCCACAAATTCAAAAATCTCCATTGAGCATATGTATCTCCACAATGGGTGAAGCCCAATTGCTACCATCCTGGCTGACTTTTTCTAATATTCCTTGTTCCACCATTTTGTTAAGCTTAGCAACCACCAAGGGTAGCATGTGAATAGGAACTTTTTGGGTTTGAAAATACATTGGTTGACTGCTTTCTTTAAGCCAAATTCTTGCCTTGAATCCACTTAATAATCCAACATTCAGTTCTACAAACTTCATGGAATTTTTCAGTTTCGATGTATCCACTCTTAACACATCAATTCCTAAATGACTGTTGCTTTTGATGTTTTCTCCCACTATAATGGGTATTATCTTAAATCTATTTTTTGTCTCAAATCTGATT